GGTCACCTAAGGGTATCTTTGGGCAAAATATGAGCGATTTGCCAAATGGGTCGTTGACCGGCGGTTCTCGATCCTAACAGTCAGCCATTCTTAAGATATTTACAACGAAATCGAAACGAGCTGTTCACCGATACGTTTTCTCTGCATATTGAAAACTATTGTTACCTTGTCATGGTCTTGACTTTGCTCTTCCACAGCGAAGACATGATTGATCATCGCAGTTATACACACAACTTAAGCAGTTGTGAAATCCCGTTCAAGCCTGAATTTTAATTTCACGACCGCTTAAAAATGAGGTTAAATGCTTTTCATTTGATTCCAGGTCCTCCTCGTGTCGATTTACATCCGGGACCTTCTTACGTCATCGAAGGAAGTAGCGTCACTTTACCTACCTGTCACGTGACCGCATACCCAGCTCCTGTGGTCACCTGGAGGAAGTCATCTGGTCAGTTACCCCAGGGGAGGGCGCAGTATAACAACACTGCTTTACAAATCTCAAATGTCCGTAAAGTTGATTCTGACGCTTACTTCTGTTCAGCAGTCAACCTTTTAGGAAATGTTGAAAGAAAAACTCTATTAGTTGTGGTTTCCCTTCCTGTGTTCACCGTTAAACCGCCTGGAAAGGTTTCAGTTGGTATTGGCACTACTTTAGCTTTGAACTGCAGCGCCATCGGTGATCCACGACCAGTCATTAGTTGGAAAAGACAGGGAGCTGTACTACCTGTGAGGAGGAGTCACAAGACAGACGATGCGCTTGTCTTGAGAGATTTGAAAAAAGAAGATGTAGGGAACTACATTTGTGTGGCTACAATTGCAGGAGTGTTTGATATCGAAGCCATAAGTTATGTTGAAGTTTTAGCGCGAGCTAAAGGTAAGTTATAAATCGTGCGGCTCTCCTGATCACAATGAAAGAGTAGGAGTGCCCTAAATCCTTGCGTCCCCTGGTGGTTTTGAAGCAGATATTTCTCGTCTTTTGAAAGTTGCGAAGTGAATTGAGTTCAGGATCCAGACTCGAAATACGGAGGTTTATAAATGAGATCCCCCGATTAAACCACTGGCAGGGATCGTTTCAACTCAACAACTTCTGGGCTACGCTGATGTAAGCAGGCAATCGGTCAGCCTTCCATAAGATGAGATTCTTAACAAGTTACGTTTTATTTTCAATGTTTGTTTGAACATTTATTGTATCCCTAACCTGCGATCAGATTTGTCCAGTTGGGAAAACGATCACTACTTAACGAGTACTTCGAAAACAATAATTTGCCAAAAAGGGTCCATGTTTCCGAAAGCCTGCTTTATTCGGTAAAAGAGAATGGGGGCGAAGAAACGGAGAGTCTTTCTGGTAATCAGTACGTTTACTCAAGGCAAGGTGAGGTCTTGATCCCGTGGGAGAGGATTCCTTCTTACATGGCACTGGAGGCAATACTAGTCATATCTTTTAAGGGTGGAAAATCGTTTTTTAATACGGCTTCGGGTTTTCGTTTTAAATTCCGCAGTCGTTTTCAGAATATGATACCTTCCAGGACACGTTTTCCAAGTGAGGCATAAAAATAAACGGGAAATAATGGTCAAGGAATAATTTCTATCTGTGATGTTGCAATTAGCTGGCTAGTGTCATGCGTCACTTACCAATATGAGTGTGGAATTGGTTCCTCTTAAGAGTTAAATGAATTGAACCAAGTTCCATCAAACAGATCTTTTTTTCACAATTTCCGACGATCATTTCCGTCGCTTTTGAATGTGGAAGACCTGATAACAACTAACATCACCCCGCTAAACGTTCGCACGAACGAAAAAAAAAAAACGATTAAAAAAATAATAACTCCTCACATCGTTAGCTTGGGCTGCCTGTGTGTCATGTAGACAGCGATATTTAACGAGTTCATGATATTACTAGACCCATAACTGTGAGCAAGAACTAAAACCTAAACGATTGCAATTTCTCGGATATTGACGTGACGTCTTTAATTCAGGTCATTTAATGACCCAACCCAAAGAGCTTTGATCTTTTAGATTATAATTGGTTTGCCTACGGTATGCGTAAACAAGGTGATCTCAAGCGGGATGAAATTTCCAATATATTTCAGCTGCAATATCACTGGGATTATTTGAACTGAAAATTGAATTCGCTGCGTGCTTTTATTTTGTCAGATTGTTCTGAACTGTTGAAATCAGGCCATACTCAGAGTGGAGTGTACTCTATCAACCCAGACGGCACAGGACACTTCAGTGTCTACTGTGACATGCGCACTGACGGTGGAGGCTGGACCGTGTTTCAACGAAGACAGGATGGCTCGGTAGAGTTCTATCGGGGATGGGACGACTACAAAGCAGGCTTTGGTCAGCTGACTGCTGAGTTCTGGTTAGGAAATGACAATATCCACAGGCTGACGGCCTCTAGACCCAGCTCGCTACGAGTGGAGCTAGAGGACTGGAACGGAGGTAAAGCGTACGCCAAATATGGCAAGTTCAACATTGGTAATGAACAGGTGCAGTATCGACTTGAAGTAGGTTCATATTCAGGGACGGCGGGAGAGTCGTTAGGATATCATAATAACATGGCGTTTACTACGAAAGACAGAGATAATGACAGACATAGCAGTATGAACTGTGCTGTATCATTTTCTGGTGCCTGGTGGTACGACGGTTGCCACTACTCCAATCTAAACGGAAAATACCTGGGAGACACAACTAGTTCCCAAGGTGTCAATTGGTACCACTGGAAGAGTAAGTTTGTCTCACTCAAATTTACTGAAATGAAACTGAGGCCGTCATCATAAAAAATAATACCAGTTAATTACACCTGAAGTTTTACAATTAATTTTGTTATGTTATACAATTGTACTTAAGTCCAAAGTAAATTTTTTCTGCTGTTTTTCATTAACGCTCGGTCTTTCCCCTCCCCCCTCACCTTCCTCCAACTTTACGCTTGCTTTGTTTCTAAATTTTTTGTGTCCGGCTACAAAGAAAATGAAAACAGTCCGCGTAGACAAGTAACCAGTGAGAATTTCTCGATTCCCTTTTGATTATGGACTTTCGGTATTGGAAATTGTTGACAACTATACTTCGTTAAATATTAACATTAGTTTGGCTTCAATGCATGATAATTTCCCGCGAAACTAGAATTGAAAACCCAATTCTTCGTGAAATATGATTTTGTATTGTTTTATCATTTTGAGAGAGACCGACTCTGGGAGCCTTTTTCGTCCCCAAACCCCTGAATCCTTTGTTTTACCATATTTCTTTGTCACGGCAGGACCCAGCGGCGAGGCTGGGCTATTGTGGCAAGGCACAGGTGACTTTTAGTAAGTTTAGTTTGTGTTGTATGAAACATTTCAAACAAAAAGCCTGTAAGAAACTTGCAAAAGATCAAGAAAATGGACCAAAAACAGCAATCAGCGCGTTACTGTCCGGCTAAGAGGCATCGAAGGAAAGCCAGTGGAGATAAAAAGTATCACCTTCAACAGCAAATGAAACAATTCCGCTTGCCATTGATACTCTGTTTGCTTTTCCTCGATCCTTCAATGAATTCATAAGAAAAAGCTTAAAAAAGCGTAACTTTCACGGGAACAACTGTAGAAGAGGAGCTAAAGAAGAACCAACCTTGATAGATTGATCGTTGCATTTTTCCTTCATTACAAAAAGAAGCGAGAAGCGAGTACCGTGGACGATATCAAATCTATTAGCTTTGTAGTAGGCTCCTGACATGCCAGTCAAATAGAAATTAATAAATTTTCCAACAAGAAAGAGGAACGTTCCAGAAAGTTGTTTCATATTAGTCTCATTCGACACTTTCTGCTCGCGTGAAGATACGTCAAGGCAGGTAAAACTGTTTAGTAGGCAGTAGAATTGTAATAGGATTTTCTGACGATACAATTTCCCTCGGCTCTTTTTTTTTTTCATGGCCAGAAATTCCGGACATCGAGTCTGTTAATTTTCGTGCGGCATACGTCTAGCACACATTTTAGTGGTGCATACCGCTGTTCAGTACGGCGTACTTCGGGCTCAACGACATTACAGAAAAAGTTGTTGTACAAAAAGACGTTGTTGGGCATGTAAATAACTGCTGACCGAAGTAATTGCATAAAAGTAAAAACTAGGGAAAATTTTCTGCCTTTCAAACGATGTCTTTTGGAGCAAAATCGGACCATTTGCAGCCGAAATATCGCCGTGCAAAGACAGCGGATTTGGGGATGTTAGCGTGGCTGTTTACGAGCTTGCTTTCCGTCATTTTGCACGCTTTTTAAAACCAAAAAGCAGAGCGAAGAAATCAGCATCGCAGGTGAAAATTGGTCAAATAGTACATCATACGGTGCTTTTCGTCAAGCGATCGCGGCACTTGGGATATCCTGATTATGTTGTCTGTTACAGAGGATCAAAATCTTCTTGGGATGCAAAAATGGGATTTCAAGCCTCTGTTCTCTAGAGCATTGTATGGGCCAAGCTTCGAAAATAAACATCGATGAAAAGCAGGGTCAGTAACATTTGTTGATGAAAACCAACTTATCAGAATAGCCGAGGAAACTTTCAAGAACTCTACCGGATCGCGGCACTTGTTCCCGGTAAGCCAGAACGTGCTCTATTTTATTTTGTTTTATTTCTGCCATACATTTCCTTTGAGTGTTTGGCGGCCATATTGTCAAGTAACCTCGCGAGTGCGCCGTTGCGATGTCCGGAATTTCTGGCCATGGTTAAACGTGACATGGCCATCTTATTTCTGAGAAGAGTAAATTTTCCATTTTCTTCTTTGTGAAAGGTGATATTCACTTCCCCTTCACCAACCTCTTTCTAAAAAAAATGATTTTTTTAAAATATTTTTTTTATTTGAAAAAAGGTGCTTACGTCATTTCAAAACTACAATTCAAATTTTGAGCCACTAAAGTAAGAAACATTTCACTTTTAAGTGAATGTAAGACTTAGCTTTGCCCCTGATTGAATATCTGCCTATTACCTATATTTGGTTGTTTTTAAGAAACCTGTAAAAAGGGATTGTACACTGCATATAATGTATATTTAACAAATGATAAACGCCATAGCGTGTACTATTGAGTTATGGATGCACGC